TTTTTTGCATTATCGCGACGACGAGGTTCTGCTCATTTATGTCGGTTGTCGACACGAATAATAATAGTAGCCACTTTAGTTGATTTTTTTAAAAGTTTTCTAGTATTTGATTCTACGATCTTATTCATGTAGTGTACCTACTGTGAAGTGATCGTGAAAGAGATCGATAATAAAATACACATTTGATCGGTAACACAAAGGAAATATATCAAGTATACAGAAATAAAATTAAAATCTTTTTATTCCAAAATTGTTAAGATTGAAACAAATTGTTTTATTACATGGTTGACTCACGTTGTAGCATCGTAGACGTGAAAGTGAACAATGTTTGCAAGATGTAAAATTTTAGTTTTGGCCATAATTTTTTAATTTTTGCCAACATTAATGTCTCTACAGCATATGTAGGATATAAGAATTTATAAGAGATAAAAATATATGCACGAGGGAGTCAGAGAAGATGAGATAGTATCAAAGAGGAACTGAATATGTACTTTAAAATACGTAATACAATATGGCGAAGGGTATTTTCTCTATTCCTTAATATATTTTCTGTAAAACAGTATCATTATTACATCACACAATTACAGTCCCTTCATTGTTTCTCTTATGTTTTTAAGAAATAATATGCATAAACACAACGAAATCGAGAGAATAGTTGTCATTCAAAATTACATTGAGTAGATATCTACGTTGGCCATCTTTAACACATTCATTACGAGCCAGCTATTAGATAATTCAATTTAATCTGTGATTTATTCGACCACCAGTTGGTTACTAGGTGGTTTGTGTTTTATACGATTGAATAGGCTACGATAATCGATTAAAATCTATTTAACAGGGAATTTTAACACTGAATCGAATGAAGAGAATCGATCAGCGAGGCAGGTCTCCGTTTAGGGGTGAATTAGGTGTCGTATGGTGAATATAATCTGACGAGCACCGTTCGATTGGCTGTTCCACGTCGATAATATGGTCAGTGGAAAGTTTTTCGGATTCATTATATTATACCGAGAAACTGAGCGCGACGTATCGAGTACAGCCCGAACGACGGAGTGGGAACGAAAAGAAAACGGCAGTCAGAGGATGTCGAAGTGCAGCGTCGACGAATTCCTTCGCTGAACAAAATGGCCAATCCTATCGTCGTCCTCGCCGTTCTATTTCAGGTCTTTGCGACACTTGCCGTCTAGACCAACAAAATTCTGTCTATCTTGTCACCTTGGCACGCGAGGTTAAAGCACGGATAGACCTTAAAGCTTCCTTCGTTTCTTTCCGGCATTCCGTAAATGAAATATTCCCCTTTTTACGACCGATGCACCGTCTGTCGTGTCACAGAATCACCGATGCACCGTCTGTTGAATTGAGAATTACGAAACGTATGATCTCATATGGTTACGGCATTATATTTTCAGTTCGAAGTAAATAGACGCATGTACACTTTGCCAATTTGAGAATCATTTAATGGAATCAAGTTATAATTAGAAGACGGATCTTTATGCCAATTCACATGTTTACTGATTATTTTAGAAGAATGGAAATTGAACGAACGTGTGGTTCTTGTACCTATTAAGGACTCTTTTAGACTATGAGTAAAAGAGTAACTTCGTTAGTCTTTATTATGGGTTTTATTCCAGTGTAATTTATGCGTTTGTATATCCTATAAATACATAAATACCTATAGTCTAAGTTATATTTCTTCTAATTTTAATATATTTCTTCTATCTAATTGCAATACTTGAACATGAGATCCGCATCATTTTAGACCAATAGATCATCCCTGTATGACTATCGGGAAGCAAAATGTAATATTAAATATTACCAACGATCTAATTATCATTAAACAAAAATATTTATTAGTTATATTATTTCTTTTTTGGAATTTAATAACACAGGAGTGGAGCGCTTACTAAAACTTAAAAAAAGTACATCGTTGCACGCGCAACAAATTTCGTTTCTGAGGGATGCGAACGGGTGGCAACGAGAAATAAAGGGAAAAAAAGTCAGGAAGGGGGAGACACACAGGAACGAGAGAGGGTGCGGCGAAGTCTCTCTAGCGCGAGAGGACGAAAATTTGATATTCATGAAGCATTTTAAAGTCGTGCCGCCCGAGAAATGGGTATAGAATATAGACTGCTAAGCAGGGGTAGATTCGTAGACATTTGCGGAAACCTATTTAGATGCGAGTTCGTGATTCGCACCATCGTTTGCCTCACCCCTGTGCACCCTGGCAAAACCCCAGTCTTTGTTCGAAAAACGAAGCGTTAGCAATCAATGCAGTTTTGATTGCGTATCGCACGAATTTGTTGCTGGAAACGACAAAATGGATATGATAATCATAAAATTTATGTGTTAGCTGCAAGATAAAGAACCGAATTTGCGAAATGTACATTATTACCTACTATTAAAGGGGGAAACGGAAGTAACTATAATTCGTCCAGAATAAATTTAAAAAGTAAACAAAGATTGGAAAAAGATTATTTTTGTTCAAACATTTTCGTACACAGTAGTTAGCTTTATATCTCATTTTAAAATTAATTAAAATAAGAGGTATGGATCTATCTAGCATTAAGAGTTTCAGAGGATCAATATAATAATTTTAATTACAGACTCCACTGGTGAGGGGTGGGGGGCGGAACCTGTCAAGCGGAGACTTTGTTGCCCCTGCGCTTTTGTTGCCGAGGTTCGGGCTTCGGGCAGAAAACGAATTTACGAGGGCTTGAAGCCTCCTTTCCTATAAGATTATTGTCCCGGCGCGGATCCGATTTTGAGACGATAATTGAGAGGACTTTGTATAACATAACTATAGGTATTTTTAAAGTCTACATAGAATCTTATATTACAGTTTTATTCAATTCATACTTACTGCATTTCTTTACACGATGATTTTGAGAGTGATAATCTTATTGGTTGATTTGATATCTGTTAAAAAGAAAATGAGTCAACATTCTTTACATTTAATTTGACATTTGATGGAATCTAATCAAGAGCCTTTTGTCGTCATTATAATGTGAAAGTCTGTAGAATTGATAGCACAGAATGTGCGACTATTACACGTCTTTTCAAATCAGCTTATCAGAAGGATAATATTCGATAACTACTTAACGGCAATTCTATTGCTAACAAAGAGAACACACGTTTACATTAGCATCCGCAATGCTGCTGTTTCCTTCTGTGTTTATTCAACGCTGATCCAAAACAGAATAAACACTTACCTGAAAATTTGACCAAGACCCCATACGTTCGTCAATTTTTTAGTCTTCGGAACACTCACCTATTAAATGAAATCGTCAAAAGAATAAACGATAATGCATGTACAGGTACGTCGGTTGCCTCCGCAAGGATTAATCGCAGAACGAAACCATTTCCACTGATCAGAATAAGGTCATCGATCTACCTTACACCGACGACCAGAAAAAAAAAGAACCTTCTGACAGACCCGCCGTTTTTCGTTCCGACAATCGAGAGAGGAACTCCCAGGACTTCCGCGTTCCCTAATTCCAGTCGCGCGGCCGTCAGCGTATTTCATCGGTACGCATCGTTCCGTCGTTCCAGGTGTATCGGGGGTTCCCCGTGGCGCGCGTAAACGGGTCCCCGGTTTTGCTCATGAAAATCGAGGAGCACGTCCACCGATTTCAGATCGCGGTCGCGCGATAACGGGTCACCCCTATATACCCAGCGACGCTAAATTGAAATCCCGAAGAAAGAGAGACGCGGAGAAGGACCGTGGCGCGACTAAAGGATGAAGGAGGGGGAACGGCGGACAGGAGCATCGCGCCCGGCTGAAAAATTATAATAATCACTTTAGAAATTAATGGGGTACCTCCCGGTCGGAGGAACGGGATCCGTGCGCCGGGAGTGACAAGGTGGCCGCGATGGTAGGGCGGCAGAGGAGTGTACAAATGGCGACTCCTTTACCGTCGAGCCAATCGTCGACGGCGTCGGAGGGCCGAGTAACGCCGACCACGCCCACCGGTGACGTCACCGTGTCCTGCGCGCACAGTCGCTCACCACTAGCGCGGTCCGCGAACCAGTCACCACTCGGACGACGTATTCGGCGCTGCTTACCCACGCGCCGGTGTGTGTCTTCTTTTTCCTTTTTCCCGTCGTCGACTCTTCTCGCCTCGTGTGCGCGCACAGAAATCCACAGCGAGGGAACTTCACAGCGACTTTCGTATTTCGATATCTCTACGATACATCGTTGTGTGGTCACGATACATCGGTACGATTCCTCCGTGGTTCGGAGCAATTCATCGAATCGAGACAGAAGGATCGCTCTGGTCGAATCGGATTCGATCGGACCAGGCTCGCGCTATTTTGGCGGGAAGATCGCGGAGTGTTATGCGGGTGACAGTGTTACCAAAAGTGGATAGTCGGTAACGCTAGCCGGGTGATAGACGTACACGATTTTCGTTTATCAGTGACCTAGGTGCCTGACACAGGGAACTATTTACCACGGGACGATGGTGTTGTAAATTGTATACACGGTTTATCAGTGAACTATTCTAACCTATTTGGACGCACGTAACTATTATCGGGCCGCGTACAGTTCGAATCGTGACGAACACGAGGAATTCTAACCTACTTGAATTTATCCTTTTCGAATGTTCAGTTGATAGTTCTGTTGGGGAACGGGGGTGTTCCGCGAGGAGCCATTTTTGTTTTTCGCATCGGCGTATACATGTTCCGTTGGTGGTTTCGTGGGTAAATCGGGCCGCAGACTAGCGAGCCGAGGGAATCAGTGAATTCACCGGCTGAAAATCGATCGTTCCGCTCACGTGGCCGGCCGTGATCGGTGTCACGTTCGCGGGTAGATCGCTGAGCGGAGGCATCGGGGTCGTTAGGCGGAGCCTTCCGGGAAGGTAGTCACGACGCAACAAACGGTGACGAGTTGTCGAGGAGGTGGCGAGGGCAACGGAGGTGGCGGCAACGGTGGAGGTGGCGGTGGCAGCGAGAAGACGCACCCGTATGCGGCCGCAACCGATACGGTAGAGGAGGTGGAGGCGCAGGAGGTGGAGGTAGAGGTCGACGAGGTTAAGATGGAAGCCGAGGACCATCTCGCCAGGGAATACGTACAGGAGTTCGTTCTCGATCATCTCGATCCCGCCGACGTCAAACGGGAGGTGAGTGATCTCGAGCCTTTTTAACAATAATTCTTCTGCTGCTTTTTGGCCGATGATTTTTTTTCGTTATTCGGGAAAGAGAAATTAGTTTGACCGGGCTTTTTAATTCGTGCGATTAGACTGTCGCGGATAATATGGCGCAGCTATTGGTTCTACGGTGTTCCGTTGGTTTACATTATTGTAGCATTGCATTTCAAATTCTTATGAAATTGATGAGAGAGTTTAGATTATGGTGGACTGTATTTTTACTAATAGAATTATTTTTTGTCGAACTTGGGTTCTAATAAACTAATTTCTCGAAGTACACAATAGGGTCTGGTGCTTTTTCATACGTGGGGTGTATAAACACACATTTGGGTGTTTAGTGCATTCAGTACGAAGTCCGTATGTATATATTGTTGCGTTTTATTAAATCAATTTTAATTAGGATGGTTGAAAAAAATCCTTTTTGAGATCGGTCTGAAGACCGTTCATTCACTAGATAATTTTCTACTTCTTTCGTCTCGGTAAATGTATTTTTTTTAAGACTATAGCAGACCATTACATGTTGCTTAAATGAAATAATTTGTCAAATTACAGACAGTATTTAAATACAGTAAACGATTATATAACTTGTTCTTGTTAACCGATTGTTAATTCAAAGCCTTCTTCTTCATACCTATATCACAAAGGAAGAATTAGTTTAACAAAGATTTTTTAAATATTGTACACGGTGGAGTTGTATTCATTTTTCATTCATATGGAAATGTTTATTACATTATATCTACCTATATTGCTTAGTTGGAATTTAAAAATTCTAATCACTGAATTGTAACAGGCATTTTTCAACCCTTCTCTGCTAAAGCGATGAAATAATAGTGACCATTAAAGTGTGCCGTACAAGGAGAGTACATACCTACTTCTTAAACATTATCTTGAAATTATGCGTGTCTTTTAAGTGTTCTTTATGTTGTTGTTACATGCTACTAGAAGTATCGTTTAATTTGTTTCGGTATTCACTATAAAAATTGCAAACATAAAAGAAAACTGAATTTTCCGACATCTCTTATGCATGTTTTTATATCTCGTAGCGTGATACCTACATTCTAAAACAATGTGGGATATGAAATTTTAGTGTGTTCGTACATTTCAAGCTAAATTTGAAAAAAAATTAATATCTCTATCAGGAACTCGATCGATTTGGTATTCGTCAGACAGATGTAATGGGAAAGAAAATATTTAAAATGCATTTCATGTCTCTGTTCTCGCGAACAAGCAAATTTTTGTGCGTACGTGACAAATGATATTTTTTTTTCAAGTCATTCATTAGCTGGGCTCTCGTACATTGTTAGCGAATACGGGGATGACGACTTTATTCACGCGCGCGATTATCTGCTACGTACTGATAATTTCCGTCGACTGTTGGTATCGCGCGTGTAAATGGAGTCACGTGCACCGTTTTCATTGTACAAGCTTGAATTATAACGTTGCCTGTTTGCGTGGAAAAAAAATACGGGGTCGTTGTTGCACGTGGACATCGGCCGACTAATAATAAATAACATTAAACACTGGATAACAATGATACATGGTGTTTTGGTCAATTTTGTTTGTCATTCACTTTCACTTACTAAAATTAAACTGAATCTACGGTGGTTAGTACTCGTGGATTTTTTTACAATTTTGTTGATACTTTGCAGGTATCGCCGGGTTCTAAATTAAAAATAAAAGTGACTGAACAATTTCTACTTAGGTACTGTTTATACACAAAATCAGTGAAATTATAGATTTTGGAAGTGGTAGTTGATATAGTAATAATCAAGATACCATCATTTTTTTACTTTTAAAGATTGTATCCTACGGATTTGCTTTTCACCCATGAAAGTAATCGTTAATTCTTATTGTTTAACTAAAGAAGACAATATAATTGACCACTTGGACTTAGTGGTATCGTCTTTGATTCTTGTATTTTAGTGCATTATAATAATTTGGTTGAGGTAAATTATGGCATTACATACGAAGCGATGGGATTCATAGATGTCACATGTGACTATACTTTCATGAATGAGAATTACCGTCTAAAGATATAACAAAAATATTGAGATAAAGTATATTCTCCATTCTTAACATGGCACTAGTTATTTTGATATTGAAATTAACTGGATGATGTTTAGAATATTCAATTAATCGTCTAATCTCTACGTGTTCAATTACTCAGACATTTTCCTGCAGTTAGCACGTTATGGGGGTTCTGAACAGAGAAAATAGAACTTTTTCACGTATACATAATACGCTTAGTATCTTTTGCTTCCAGTTTCTTGAAATCACAAAATCATTATCCACATCCCGATTAACCCTTTCACAGTACAATAAAACAACGGGCAACACCAAGCTATTCCTTCAAAATACACAACAATATCGCCTAAAATTGTTTATTCTGTTAAAAATCAAGAGTTTCGGTGCATAGCCTTACTTACCCGAATCTCTGTCAAACAAAACTGTTCTGTACATAACGCCTTGCCTCTCTCTTAGATAACATAGTTCCTGTGCAAACTAGCAGATCCAAACTCACATACAAGAACCTCCATCGCAAACTAGCAGATCCAAACTCACGTACAAGACCTCTATTGCTTGCTCCAACAAAACGAAAAACAACAAAGTTGTCAATTCCGTTTTAACAAATCCGTGTCTTATTACTCCGGCAGGTACGAATCAGCTCACCGATGATGGTGAACGGCAGTGTGGTCCAGCTACCTGGCCAGGTACAGGCTCAGGGTTTAGCTTTGGCTCCGTTGACACCGCCCGCGCACGAATTGGAGCAACCGCATCCGCTTTACGGGCAGCCCCATATTCAGGTGCAACACGGTGTCCTGGTGAAAGCACCGCCTGGTGCGGCATCACACCTGACCACTCTCTCGCATCCTGGAACGCCGCCGGACACGCCTCCGGTCTCGGCCTCGCCGCCGCCGTTGCAGTTGCATCGCGGCGATCGGGACACGCGGGATCGTGGCCTGTTCTTGCATCTGCAACAGCCCGGCTCGTTGGTCCAGGACGAGATGCAGCCCGCTTCCGGTGGTATGGGCTGGCTGGCGCAGTCTCTCAGACAGGAACCGCTCGATCTCAGGCCTCATTGTCCCCAGGAGCAAACGCCTGAACATCATCACGAGGCTTGGCCCTCTACGCCGACGCATCATCATTTTCAAGATCTGCAACACCTGCAACGTCATAGTAGACACACTGGTGAGTAATTCCGTTTGAGTTTTGATCATTGGTAGACGCATGTTCTGGGACTGACGCTGCAGGCGGATCGCAGGGTCATAGAGATTGAACCTTCTAATCCCGTGGGTCGATCTGGGTCGATTCGATTCGTGTCCGAAAACGTTCTTCGACCTGATCTTAGCTGATCGTTTCAGAGCGATTGTTCTTAGCGGTAGGTGTTTCTAGTGAAAATTAACAGATTTTATCAAATTCGTAAACGAAATCTTCCATGTTTCTGTGCTTTCTTTTGGCGGTTTCAACGGTACTCTGGTGTCTCTTCCTAGAATCAGTGACGAGTAAAGTTGAACGTACCTAATTTGTACATTTTCTTAAATATACTAGTATATTTCGAAACTATAACATTGCGATAGAAATTACAACGCCTCGGAAGATGGAACATGAAGTTTACTTTCATATGTCGTTCTATTGTTTATTATTTAACCTTTGGAAGACGGATGTTCTGTGACCTAACGCGGCAGGTGGATGCAAGGTCATTTAGATTCCATAATTCATGGAGTTAATTATGGGGTTTCCAGGGGCGCCGTAAATATCATTATATGTATGCGGGCTTGAAGGATGAATTGTGTACAAAATTTGAACTGTGGTTGCGTATACAAATTCAGTTTCATGGAATGATTTTGAGGAACGGGAATTATTGGTGTTCGTAAAAATTGATTTGATTAATGAGTAAGCAGGATATTTTAATAAAAGTATTAAATACAATTGACCTATTAATCGAGGAAGACGAGTGAACTCTTCATTCACACTTGACTCTATCTTCTTTTAATTCTTAGTTTTTTTGATTTATTTAATTACATATTGCTGCATGTAACTACACCGTAATATCCATAGAATAGCTACACTGATATCTATAACTAAAGAAATGGAAATCAAATTTAAGTTGATCACTTTTCACAGTATTCAGGGACTTTGAGTCCCATTAATTCCTTTCCATAAAGAGGTTCGTCTAGATACCCGAGAAAAGTTCACAAATTCGTTATATCTTGCTCCAGAATTGTTATTGGAGAGTAGACAGACCTTGCCATAGTGTACCCAATCATAAGAGACAGGAAGAGGGATTATGATAAGCGAATGAGAATGAATAAGACAAAAGATTAGATCTTGTTGTCGTATTCACCGCTCTCTGTAATTGCGTTGACAGTCCCAGACGCGGTCACCATAAGGAGGAATCGATGTAGTGAGAAAATGTGGAACGTTTAACCCTTTGAGGGCTAAGATGTTCGATGACGTCCGTCTGTTATACACTTCTTACTCCTTACGATGAAGCGTATGCTAGGTTGAATAATTTTTCACTTCTGATGCAAAATATATCGATTATACCTGAAACTGTTTACAAATTGAAATTGCAAAGACTTGGACGAAACCATTTATTCGTCATTTGTATCATATATTATGATGCAAATTGGACCCACAAACGGGTTCATAGCGCACATTGAATGATTGCACAAAGGAACACATAAATGAGGTTAACAGCGAATGAATGAACAATCTTTCCAAACTCATATATAAACTGTTAATAAACATGTAGGACACGTTGACAGGGTGATTTTTACATGCCAAACTGATAAGGGAACGTTTTTCGCTGTTACATCAAGAAATGAAAAATCTCCTGTGCGTTGTGTAGTCCACCTAGTCCTATTTAAAAGTGCCTTTATTAAAATTTTGCTAAGATACAGGCCATTAAAGTTGATCAAAATATTAAGCAAAGTAGACCATACAAATTTGAATTTTGTACATCAGTATTATTGTAATAATATAAGTAACATGTATTCCAAGCAAAAGGAAACAATTACACTTCTGAATGCAACTAATATTTTACAATTGTTCTACTACTTCAGCCGTTTGATGTAAATATCCGTCAGCGACTTCCTACTCGCTTTTAAGCTCGAGTAAATCTTGGAAACGACAAATGTCGCTTCTAGTACATTGAGTCGTAACAATATTTACAAAATACAGTTTTTTGGCGAAAGGAATTAAAAGCAGTCATTTTTGTTTTATTCTAATTCGTCATTTGATACAGTGCCGCCCATTTTACTAACATTGATACCTTGTATCTTGGCTAAATAACAAAAATTGGCACCTGCGGTTTTGCACTTTCAGTAAGGGTTAGGTGGACTACAAAACTCACGCAAGGTTTTTCATTTTCCGGTGTAACATCAGAAAAGATTCCCTTGTTAGTGTGGCATGTAGCATTCACCCTATGAAAGTGTCCCGCACTCTTTCTATGAACATGCCTGTACAGGGTGTTCCAAACTAGTTATAATTCTTTAAAAGCGGTGCTTCTTGGGGTAGTTTGGAACAATTTTTTCCTTAGCGAAAAAGTTCTCCGAGGCTTTGTTAACGAGATATTAACGAAAAACCCCGACCAATCAGAGCGCGAATCTGCCGGCTGAGTTCCTGCGGCAACGTTGGCTACGCGCTACCGCGGCTGCTCAGCTGGCAGACTCGCGCTCTGATTGGTCGGAGGTTTTTTGTTTATATCTCGTTAACAAAGCCTCGGAGAACTTTTTCGCTAAGGAAAAAGTTGTTTCAAATCGCTCCAGGAATCATTCCTTTCAAGCACTTGCACCTATTCTGGGACACGCTTTATATGGGTTCATAACGGTGAAAGGGAATGGTGATTCAGGGCAGAGAGAGGGAGAGAGAGAGAGAGATTTAAAAAGTCGACAAACATTGTTGTCGCAGGTGGATACATCACGCTGTCGGGTCAAATAGAGTACTACGGGGGCGCGGGTGCAGGCGGCGGGATGCTTCCCGCGGGCGGAAGTGGAATGTCTGGGATGGACGACAGCATGCAGGGAATGCAGATGCAACCGGGACGGCCGATGAGCGTTTGTTCAGTGAGTTCTTGCGGTGCCGGTGGACCGAGTCCCGCGCACAGAACAGGGAACGGCCTCTATCCGAACTGCGGCAGTAACAACCCACAAGAAGAACTCATGAACGACGAGCTGCTCATGTCCCTTTCTGTCCGCGAACTAAACAAACGCCTCCATGGTTGCCCGCGGGAAGAGGTGAGTCAGGTCTCTTGTCTTTTTAATGCCACTTTCCGTAGAGGCGACGCCCTGTTCTTTTTTGTTGAACCATCTCGATTATGTTTCGGACTAAGAATTTAACTTTGGTAGAAGTTTTGGCTTGTTGACGTGGACACCTTCATTTACAGTGTTAATCCTCTGTAAGGCAGACGGTTTTGATGGCGTGAGCCCCTGTCTGGACTCACGGGCATTATTCTAAATGAATTTTTGAATTGGCTTTTTTCAAATGGAATTAGCTTTCATCCTTTCTGTATGTCAATTTGACACGCCCCTGGTATCAATTTGAAACATTTTTCTCCTAAGAAATGACGTTACTCTGTTATGTGTAGGTTAATTTAGCTGACGGTCTATGAATTTTATTTTAAAGAATTTGCAAATTTAACTATTTATTTCTTTATTCTATTCATTTTTTACCAGTGTGTCAATTTGACACTGAAGGACAAGTTAAGTTAAACAAGTTAAATATAACAAGTTAAATATAAACGATTAACTAACTTAACTTAGTTATCGGAAGCTGTTGAGACGAAAACGCGTCATTGTCATTCAAGGATTAAACACGGGTTAAACGAAATAACTCGTTATTTAACGGTGATCGCAGAAAAATAAGTTAAGAGTCAGCTGTAGGTAAAGAATAAGGTGATAGTATTGCATATTTTTGTTCCGTCGAACATACGATTAATTTGTTGATACTCGTCAAGAATTGGAATTGGGAGAAGCTTTGGATTATTGAAGACATTTTCACATTAACTGTTAAACAGAGGAAGTTAAATAAATCGTTGTTTGATGGTGATTGTAGAAAAATGAGTTAAAAATAATTGAGATAAAGACTAACGTCATATTTTCACTTTCGATGTTAAGGCGTTAACTGCAACAGTTTTTACTATTGGGACAATATCATAATAAGGCACATTTGTTTCTGTCATTGCTGTTGGCGATGTAAATATTTACGCGTTGACCTCAACACTCATTACTTCCATTATTACTTCGATTATTAGTTATATTTACGAAATGCTAAATGCACCTGCTTAAAAATGGAATATTTCTTTAGGTAAATTAATTCAGCTTGTTAATGGCCAAACACCTAAACATCCATGTGAATTAATGGATTAACAGTGAATAGCTTTCGAGAGCAAAAGAAATTAACTTGCAGTAAATTATAGGTTCTCTACAACAATATAGTATAAGACAGTTGCTAGAAGATTGTATGATTGTCAGACAATACCACAGACGAGTTTTGCGCAAGTAGAAATGGCGAGAAACGATCAGACAGTCCCAATTGTACGTAATCGATGATACTTTTACCTAGATTCGTTTAAAAAGATCTTTTTTTATTTTGTTTCGATGACGAACTGAAATTTATATTTCACTTTATGCAAATACAAATTATTTTATTATTCGTGGACAAACGAAAACTTTCCAGTGTCGGACAGTATTTCCATTTGGAATATGTTTCGTAACTGATTATTCAATTCCCTTGCATATTTTTCTGTCTAATGACAGTATTTTCCAAAACACACAATGTTTTTTATCGTTTATCTAGTGTGAGCTATCTACAGTGATGATTATTGTAGTGTCTATGTATAATTTCAAACTTTTAATCCGATAGTGAGGAAGTCTCAGAAAAATTTAACGTCAAATAATTTCTCACTCGTTATTAGACTGTAGAGTTCGTGACTTTATAGAAGACACAATTCAATCAAGCATAATAAGATAAAGTTTTGTCTTGCATAATCAATGCATGAGGTTTCTCGTAACTGAATGATTAATTCTAGGAAAGGTTAATTAAATATTATGAAACACTTTCGTATTAGATTCAGTGTAAGTGCATACTATATATTCTTTTGTACCTTTTACATTTCTATTCAAATTAATAAAGAAAGTGAATCAGTTATTATATTTTCTATATGGACATTCGAAATGTTAAATTTATACCCCTGGTGAACGAAAGAGTCATACACATTCATTATAAACTTGGAATATTAATAATAATGTTTTCATTCTGATGAAATTAAAATTAAAAACTTAAAGTAGATTTTTTCACATTAGATTAACGAGGTCACGCGATTTCAAGTAGAATACCTGACAGTAGATTAACCCACGCTATAATTGGACAGATAAACTTATACATTTACGTGTCTATTGTTATCTTTTATAAAAAGTCGTTAAATTCTTACCAAACTATATTATTATTAATAAATATTCTTTAAAGAATTTGTCGCCAAAAGAAAACAAATCAAATTACAATGACTCGCAGGTTTGTTCATAGATTCGTTATCCACTCACGAGTGAACTCGCTAGTGAATAGGTAAATATCAACTGTACGAGGCTGGTGTACTCGCTTACTTACTCCAAGCTTCTCCGATTTCATATGCTTTCTGTATCAGATGTTTTATTAGTGACAATGGAGTGAAACAGTGCTAAATCCACAAACAATTTCTTATGTAATGAAATGAAACGTAAAATCTTTAAAAACAGAATGACCGAATTACTCTATAATGTAGGTTTATTTATAGACATGACTGAAGAGAAATTTACTATTGAAGATATTAATAAATGTTTCGATGTTCGATATGATTTCGAGTAGCACTTATAATAGTCAGTCTTTTGAATTCTCTAGTAATGGTTGCTCGACGTCAAATTTACTATCTCTATTAATTACATCTAGCAGATTAGAAAAAAATCGCGAATTAATTCCTTGGCAAGTAGCCAGTAAACTGTCTCCGTGTAACTGACAATTCAGTGCCCAAAACCGTGACATCTCATAAGCATCTATTAGGTCGTTGCACACGAATTGACCGATTTTACTGATAGATACATTTGACGTTATTTTTATGAATGAAAACTATTAACAATGTTTCCTTCTATATCTCAAAATTACACAGTATACTCTATTCGTTTCAAAGTATAACAGTAATATCATTTACATTAAACGGTAAAGTCAATCAAGGTAGAGGATCAATTCTGAGTTACATTCAGCCATTTCCTCTTCGTACATCAAACGATAGGTACTTAAGCTAAATTCATAAATAAAATTTCTAAAGATTCGTGTATGTTTCTGTCGAAAAGTACTATTTAGCGACGACAACATTCGGTGGAAAAATGGTAGCTAAAAATATCTTTCAAGATTCATCTTCAAATTTAGTATAATATTTACGTAACAAATACAACATGAATGTAACACATGTGTTTCAATGAAAAAACACGCATACAATTTATTTAACCCCTTGCTTCACGATTTTCTTACGACTGTAATCTCACATTACTTTATTGTTAATAATTTCCTAGGACTAAAAGCAATTCTATACTTACTGCAAGTGTGTACTAACTCGAAAAGTTAAATATTAATACCAATAAAATAGTATATCACTTCGACTTAAAGAAACCGAATAACACTCAGGTCTATTAAATCCATTTCGAAATCGTCACCACGAGTCTGACTCGACGTTATAAGGCAAGGGATTAATCTTAGTATCCTAATAAAATTCGTATAATATTCAATCCAGTATAAAGTACCTGGGGTTAGTCATTGATAGGTTTCAACAAGAAAGAACATTAGGAATCGAACAACCAAAAAGCGTGTCCGACTAGCTCGTTAAAATGGAATCCTTTTCCTGTTCTGCGAAGGTCGTGCGTCTGAAGCAGAAGCGACGGACTTTGAAGAACCGGGGCTACGCTCAGAACTGTCGCAGCAAGCGACTACAGCAACGCCACGATCTCGAGACCACGAATCGGAATCTGCAGAACGAGCTACAACGGATGAAGATCGAGCTGGCGCGGGTCCAGCAGGAACGGGATCTCTACAAGCAACGGTGCGAGATTCTGAGGACCAGACAGAGTCATCATCATAATCATAACCATCATCAGCAACAGGCGCCGCCGCCACAGCAGCAACAACAACCACTGCAGCAACAGCATCAGCCGCAGAATCAACAACAACAACAACAGTCCCAGCAACAACAACAACCGTCGCAACAACAACACCAACCAGCACCCGCTAGCCCCGAGGTTTACCTGTGACATCGACAGCGCCGAGGAGGCGCTTGCTGGACCTGAACAGAGACCATCCGTCATGAGTTCGCGAATTTTTCGATCGGTGAGTGATATTTGTACACTTCTTTCTCTATTTTTCGCGATTTTAGTTTTCTTTTTTGTGAACTTTGAGCTTCCCTTTTTAACCCCTTCATGATGGTGTCTGTATTAGGTGGTTATTGGCTGGTGTGATTCATTATTCTTTTCCTTTGGTTTGCAAAAGAATAACAGATTTTCATTCGTTTTCGAGAAGTTGAATTTTTTATGAAGAGCTGCGAACTTTCATTCTCAATTAACAGAACAATATTTATAGAGGCAACCCCCGTGTAACACGGCATTCTTATAACACGGTTAGATATTTGGGGAAACCCTCCAATAACACGGTATTCCGATTTACAACACAGACTCGGTGTAACAAGGTTAAAGAATTGTGTAGAATAGTGTAGTTTTATTTTTTGTAACCTAACCTTGTTTTTTGTATGTATGTATAATAATAGTTTTTCGTTTCTTATAGTACGAATTCGCATAAGATGGCAGTTTTCGTAACTTAATCATCTTGTTGTACGGGGGTTACCTGTATTTTTATGTTTTCCTTGGGGATTGTTGCTTCATTCTTATTAACTTTGTTTATCGTATTCAAGGTATTATTTCTATAAATTTTAGTTTACTGTTTGTAATTTTTGTGTCCTCATTATTTGGTATCTAACGTTTATTCACTGTTTACTTTTATGAATACTGAATTCTCTTTATTATCTAACTGAAAATATCAGATTTTTCTCTGTATTTTTTGAAAGATGTCTCGTTAGTATACTTTTTTCTTAATACTTCAGACGAAGTGAGTTCTGCAGTACAAGTTTAAAAACAAACGATTTGTTTGTGTAATCGTAAGCTGAACGTTTAAAGTGAACTTTTTCAGATATTTATAGTTTTGCCACACGTATATATGTATTTCTTTTCGTGCAAACAGAAACATTTTTCTTGGACTCGTGGTTTTCGTTTGTGCCATTATTTATAAACGCTGACAGTGTTACAATCTGTCTTAATTTTACAAAATTACAGTAAACTCATATTATTTCAGTAACAGTATTACAGAAAACTGATTCCTAATTATAACTGTGCTGAAAAGAGTACTAGAACAAGGTTACAGTTTTCAAAAGTATACAGAAAATTATCAAGGAATTCGAAACCAAAAGCAAACTATAAACTATTTCTGAAATTCAGAAACTACTATAAAATTACAAATTATAACAATAAGAACTTATAAAAGAACTATAAATACAGCAACTTTTAAACGGATATATTGTTGAAATTTGACAACTCACAATTTTGATTTTTTCTGAAAATAGAGTATCATCTTAAAAGAAAATATTGTTCCTTCTTATTCATTTATTTTCTACATAAGAATTCTATTGATTTCATGGACACGATATTATTTCTTCCTGTGCTTCATTTACATCTGTTTTTGGTACTGTATTATGTTTATTTATTCACATGTTTCATTTACTTACAGTTTTTCCATACACACATTATTAGTTACGAATAATACCTAAACGGGAACTAACAATTGCATGATTTCTGATTTTATTTGTCGTTGGCAGTCCGCCGGACGTGTTTCCGACAGGAACAATTTAAAGTGACCGGTTCGGATGGGTTTAAAGATGTCGTTTAGATTTTCCATCGGATCATCTTGTAATCCCGTGTAAATCCTCGCGACACGATGGAAATCCTTTCGGCTTTATATCTCCGTGTAGCACACACCTTTCATCCTGACTATTGTTCCCGATATCACGCAACGAAATCCACTTCTTTTGGGTGGATGTTTGCAAATTACAACCAAATTACATCAACAGATACTATTTGCAATATGTTTGTTAAATTTTCAATTCGTGTACAATTACGTTTTAATTTTAACTTTCTCTTATACCGTAAGTTGGGATCACTTTGACTCAGTCAAGGATAATTTTGTCCCGAAGTCAGAAAATGATCATTTTCGATTTTGCAGCTCTTTTCTAGGTATATTTACGTGAAATACCTTTTCACGTAAAAGTCCACTTAATATAACAATTTGGGACAAATTTACCCTAACCGAATCAAAGTTATCCTAACTCACGGTAATCTTTAAAGCTGTCCAGTAGGTATTTAAGTGGTTTAGTTACAAACAATTGAAAGAAAATCGTATTTTACTTAACATTCATTAAGAAACCTTAATTAGTTAATTACTAACCTTTCCATTATAATTTCACAGAAGTGTCTAAACAGTTACATCCCATTAACAATATTTTATCCTGTCGACCGTAGTTCAGCTTGAGAGTTTCTCATCGCATCATTCCTAACCATCTTTCATCCACTTTTTGTTCTTCATTATCTGGGTTCCTAAAATGTTAAATCAAAGTTCCAAAAATGGATGTTCTACCATTCTTGGATCATTACTTCCAAAACACCTCAGTACTCATCGCACGCTTAACCCTAGGACTTCCGAGCTTCAAGCTGTCATATAAACGTCCAAGGGTGGGGAGAGTTTTCCTCGAACCCACACTTCTTTTTACATATTTCCCCTGAAAAGATTACTTTCTGATAACAATTTTATAAGATTCAAGTATATTATACACCGCAAATTAACATTATTTTTTATTTATACATATGTATTTGTAAAATAGAATGGTAGCGTAAAATAATATACTATATAACATGGAACTAGTCTGAATCTGATTCTTTTAATTCTTCCATTAGTTCGATTCTTCGTTTTGTGATCGTTTGGTATTCTTTGAAGACAAGAAAGACATAATATATCGTGTAATAAACGTAATAAAAACGTGATAGCATCGACGCGCGATCGCCAGTGTTGTGGCACGTAGTCCGTTTTCTTTTGCTTATGCACAGTGTTTTTCACATATAGTAACGAGGACTTTTGAATATCAAACTTAAACATGTATACAACAATAAATAATTTTTTGAAAATTATTGAAGACGGGAAATAGTTATAATTTTATGCTATTCGACTTGTGGGTTCGAGGAGTCCCCCCTTGGGCGTTCTAGGGTTAATATTTTTTTTTTGCTTTCAACGAAATTTGTTCACAGTGGCATACCTTGGCCGTGGGTTGAAAATACCGGACCGGGCGACCGAGTGTGTGTCCCTTCGAGAAGCAGTTTTTCAATCGAGACCACAAGTCCTCGAGCACACACGCATCTCTAAAGCTCGTGTGTACTTACGTGTGTACATATAACATAGGCGCTCGGTTTCAGCGGTTCTGTTTCCTTTTGCGTAGCTTCGTCGAGCCACGGCGAGGGCCTTGACTGTTAAACTGTCTCTTTGTAAATCGTGTACGGAGCTATACAGCGCAACTTAAGGTATCATTAGATTAAAGGTAATTAGTTCTGTTCGCGTAGGGTATGTACATGAATATATCGCTCGTGGTAGACTGGAAACGTCTTCGCTAAAAATTATTGTGTCGAAACGGGCCAAAGAGGACGAAGCCACAAAAAAAAAAAAAGAAAGAAAGAAACGAGAGGAACACCGTACTTTGTCGTAGCGCAGAAAATTGATACGGAGTCGAGCGATGCTTGCGTCGAGGAAACGTTAGAGTTAAAGGGGTGGGGGGTTCGTCCAGTTTGTTATTTAATTTCTAGCCAAAGTTGAACTTTTATTCCTCGCGGCGAATGATCGGCTTGGATGACCCACGTTGCCGTTTGTTGTTTTTGTTACCTCTTTTAAAGTATACCGGGTGATCCAAAGAAAGGCTCGAAGAGTTTAAGAAACATTGACGCAGGTTTGTGGATCAGTCCTGGAAGGGGTAAGGTGCAATATGAACTAATATACGTATATTTTAAATTATATTCTTATTTTTGGTTTAGATGGAAATCCATTTAAAATCGTGGTAGTATATGATTTTTTTTATCGAGAATAATAGAGAAATTTATATTTGATGTTTAACAACGTGAAAGTTCAAGAAACTAAGCAGTATAATAATAGTAGATATTATTTTCCAATCAAATTAATACATTTAGATTGGCAAAGTTACTAATTATTGATTACGGCAATAAATGGAATATTTTCTGTCTGTTTTCGCAAAGACAATGTATCTTGAGATTCGCGCATCCTTTTTCTGGGTCACTCTGTGATTGCTATTACTTTATGTCCATTTTAAATGTGGTTATCACCTAACGACTAGTTTTTGTATATAAAAATCTGAGAGCTCTATTTTCAAAATCGCTATCCGTCTCGATCATCCTTTTATCGTTTTAGTGTATTCATTTTTATGTTAGTTAGGTGACTTTGAAATCGTCGTGCATGACTAGAACGATTTTTTTTACGAAACATTTTCAGGCGAACAGTCGAATATCTTTCCTTAGTTGTAGTCTGTTATGAGTTCCTTTATTTTATTGATAAATAAACGACGCGAGTCGTTGTTCCCAGCCATTTGGTAGTATCGTTTTTATAGATAAGGATTGGACACACTGGCGAATCAGACGCATATTTCAGTCGTTCCTTGAAAATCCGCCATTTTGTACAGGCTCACGTGCAATATTAGCGGCGTGGTTTTTAAGCCACTATTTTTTTAATTCTAGTTTTATTCGTTTCGAGTACAATTAGACATGGACGACTGAATTGTCACACAATTATTCAGTCGTTCGTACAAAATCTACCATTTCACTGGGTCGAATTGTCAACAGCCTGTGGATATTTTGGCAAATTGCATTTATTTGGAGTAATTTACAAAGACAAAAATTCAGCAGTTTATTGTTCAATGATTGAAAAATTCTATTGAAATTTGTCGAAAGTTTTGTTTTACTGTATTTCACATTTGTGTGTTTTAAAGATGCATAAAATCCGTAATTTACGTATAAATGATTTCCATTCCTCTTTTGTAAGTATGTTTCTTACACTGACTGATTATTAACTTCTGACAATTGACTTTTGTCCATTATTGTTCATACTTCGTCACTATTAACTTTTACAATTACCGTAAAACTTAGAACCTTTTATTGTAAAGTAGTAACTTTGAACTTATTTTCGACTACGGATTTCATGCATCTATGGCGGTGCACGATTAAACTTCAAGGACAGTTGTTAAAGTTTGGTAAAGTTCAGTAAGATTCTTATGTTATTCAGAACCGAACGGAACATTCGATGAATAGATTTTTATTCGATTCCAGTTTCTCTAAATTACCGCGTAAAAATCTGTATTTGCATAAACATCCGCAGTTCGTTGAATTTTCACCGTTTCTAAACGGAAGTTCTCCATTTGGGAAAGAATAAATTTTGAGGTTGCACATTGGAAGAAGATAAATTTTGGGCATAAGATTCGAAAGAAAGAAATTTATCTCTTCTCATTTTACTCTCCTTAACGAGAACAAGTAAATAATAACGATTGAATTGTCGTGTAACTTGTTAGAGTCGCCAGTGGCTGGTTCGATCGAAGTTTCCGTTCTTCGTATCGTTTCGATGTTTCGTGGAGCGAAATCATAACCACACGACTCGAGTCGCGAGTCAGGATACTAATTAAACGGAATCAGTGGGATGTGGCGTCCTGTTAATTTGGGACGTTTGATCGTGTGTGCGAGTGTCTGTTTTATTAAGAAATGGCGCAACGATGAGCACGAGACCCAATGGATCTCAGAGCACGCAATCAAGCTGTGTATACGCTAAGAGCACGTGTCGCGTGACTTGTAGGCAAATTATTCATATTTATACATATCTTAATTTCTACGCGATATTTTAAACGACGTATAGATCGAGAAACAATCGCTGGGAACACTGTGTATCCTGATACTCGACCGTCCAGTTATTTTCCAGCAACTATACAGGTAACGTCGTCAAACAATTTCATTTATTCGAACGACTGTTGGTAGGCAGGACATTAAACGGAATATATCTATCGCGTATTTTCTATTTGGAGTCTTTAATTTAATTTAATTTACACTAGAACCAACAAAGCAGTCAAAGGTCACTGGTTACAGACTCCTCTCGATTATCGTCTGGCTTGTTCTACACGATTATTGTCTAGGCGTTATCCCCACCACTGGGGAATGGGGGGGAGCCAGTGGAACCTGCCAATCGCATACTTTGCTGCTCCTCCGCTTTTGTTGAGGATCGGTCTTTGGGAAAAAAACGAATTAACAAGGTTTTGAAGTATTTCCCCTATAAGATTTTTGTCCGGGTGCCTCAGTTCGGGACGATAATCGAGAAAGGAGTCTGTAGTACACTTTTGTAACGAAAATTCAAATATTACAACAGTGCAGTCTCTCAGATCTTTTGTAACTTTCCTTCCATTATAAATATGAAAAAAATTAGTTGACTTATAAATTTAGGTATTTTCAAAATGTTTAAGAATTCGATTGAAATAGATATATTTTTATCTTTGCCAATTCTAGCGTTAAAAGTTGATTTCTGATCGTTGAACGGTTCGAAAGTATCTGTATCTGTCAGATATAGTGATTGTGTCCCGGTCTATACGTCACATTAGAAACACCAGAATCAAGAGAAATTTGTTCCAATGAATATGAGATTTATACAGTTAATACATTGGCCACCGTGTTGGTCAATGGTAATTAAAGCTGAGATTTTTATTCGTCTAGATAAATGGATGAAGTGGTCACACCGTGAAACAATGTGTCTGTGTAATCATTATTGACTCTATAGACAGAAGAAGATAAAAATGCGCTCATGGAAAATTGAATATTTAAAATATCTGAAAAGAAATTGTTACATTACATTACATTATGTTATGATTATTTTACTGCTTCAGGATTGCGACTTGCTACATGAGTTGAAAAATTTGCTAACATGTTTTTAGTTGCCAGTTGTTGAGTTTAAGTACTCCGTTAAATAATCTAGATAATAATTGATTATTAGAATATTACCTATACGAAGATACGTATCAGATGTAGAAATTATAGTGTGAACAAAAAAAAAAGGAAAAGTTATCGTTAATAAGTTGCCAGATTTATAGTAGAGTGAGTCAGACGTTGATTTTACATCATCTTCTTCTACTAATTCATTATTTTATTTAAGTAATATCATTTATGTCTTATTTGTGTTCTCGCTCGATTGTTCACTATAGTGATCACTGATAAATAACTAAATTTACATAATTAATTCAGGTATATACTTTTACACACACATTGAACAAGAACTCAAGACACACCCTAATATTTTCGAAATACCAATAACGTCATTCACAAACGCGATACCGAATGAAAATTTTAATTCTATCTTGTTTTATTACTAGACTGCGTATTTTATACGTTCATCACAAATATGAATGCGCAAAACGTAATACAGTACAAATTTTTGTAAAATTGGCATAATTTTACTTTACTTTGAAACTAACAAAACTTTTACTAAAACCATTTTCTCATAGAATTTAAGTTTAATAAATTAATCCACAAAGATTTGAATTCGCTTAAAAATCTGCAGTCGACGCATTGATGCACTATTTTCAGTCTTCAAACATACATTCCATGGGTGTGAGTTCAATGGTCGATTTTTTATCGTTCGATCGACGCGTGCTCCGGCGGATATACAGCTTAAAGAAGAAGAAAAAAGAGAAAAATAAAAGTACGTGGTCGGTATATTTTCGTACCGACGCGACACGAAAGGTGATATCGTTTTAGTACTTATGGCACAAAATGATCTGTATACGGTAGTTCTATAAATTATTGGCCGAGTCTAGGTTTCTTTTCTTACTTTTAGGGGTTGTTTAGACAAAGATGGGGGCTGCGTTGTATTATTTGCGTTTCGAGCAGCGGCGTAAATTTTGCGAATTCCTTCGATTCAACAATCGTCTAGCGCTAAATATTATCGTCGGAATGCCTGAAAAATGCAAAATTGACTTTTCAGGGAATGGAAGAAATCGCGTTTGTTTCTCCGTTTTAAGAAAACGAAGAGGGTTGTTACAAAAATTACGCCTCTGTCATATCGGATTACATATGAAGCATATAATATTGTTTTCTCGTGTCGGATTACGCGTTCGGCCGTTTCACGACTGCCGAACCCGTCACCGAACCGACTTAAGAATGTTTTAATTCCCGTTACATTGTCTCATGTGTACATAAAATAATTATTATACTTCTTATTATAAATAAATGTCGACACCCGACGGTTTCAGATACACGCAGCATAGTTATTCTTCCTTTCGTCATGACCACGAGCGTCCTTTCCTCGAGGATATCAGTCCGATTCATTCCAAATAGTTAGTAAGAAATAACGGAGTAACAAATATAGATTTTTTTTAGACTAGTTTACGGAAATTAGAATTCAAGAATCTATGATTAACACTTTGACTGCCACGTCACCCATGTACAGGTGACACAATTTCTGGCTCATCATTAAAGGTTAATTTTTACAATAAAGTATCGAATAAAGGAAGTTTAGTGAAGGTTTACGAGATTCTAAAACGCTGAAGGAATAACTCCTGTGATAAACCTAAGTTTCGAAGTCTCAGTTGCATTAAACATTCTTGTGACCTTATAGAATTTTCATAGAGTTTGA